ATGAGCCACTGCGCCCAGCCTGAAAATACTTTTGTAAATGTAAGACATACTGTACTACTGTTATTTATAAAGGGCAGTCAGTAAATGCTTTAGTTGAATTATGAGGCGGCAAAAAATTTTCAATATTTACATTCTTATGATGCTTTAGGCTTTTCAAAGTGCTTTCATGTAGCTGATCCCTTCTGGATAACAAGTCACTCTAAATCCATTTTGGAACAGGCAAGACATAAATAAATATTGGCAAGCTGAGTAAACAGGCTTAGAGATGTTTAACACCTTGCTCTGGGCAAAAAGTGAATCAAACCTAGCCAAGACTGGCATCTAAGTGGTCTGACTCCTAGCCAGTGTTTCTTCAGTTTTATTTTTTGTTGTTGCTCTTTGTTAAATTGTTGTTATTAGTGCTATTCATTTATTTTAGAGATGGAGTCTCGCTCTGTTGCCTAGGCTGCAGTGCAGTGGTGTGATCTCGGTTCACTGGGACCTCTGTGATTTTCAAGTGATTTTCCTGCCCCAGCCTCCCGAGTAGCTGGGATTACAGGTGCGCGCCACCACGCCTGGCTAATTTTTGTGTTTTTAATAGAGATGGGGTTTTGCCATGTTGGGAAGGCTGGTATTGAACTCCTGACCTCAGGTGATCTGCCGGCCTTGGTCTCCCAAAGTAATCACGATGGGATTACATGTGTAAGCCACTGTGCCTGGCCTATTCTTGTTAAATTGAAGCAGTTCTCAATAGTAAACAAAACCATAAAAACAATAATATTTGGCCAAGCACAGTGGATCATGCCTGTAATTCCAGCACTTGGGGAGGGTGAGGTGGGAGGATCACTTGAGCCCAAGAATTCCAGACCAGCTTGGGTAACATAGCAAAACCCCGTCTCTACAGAAAAGAAATACAAAAAAAATTTTTTAAAAATTAGGTGGGCATGGTGGTATGCACCTGTAGTCCCAGCTACTCAGGAGCCTGAGGTGGCTCAATATACACTTTTGCAAGCTCATTTTATAACATTGTTTTATAACATTTCTTTTTAAAGTCTGCCATACTATAATAATAAAGTTTTCATTTTACTGGTAACATAGTATTCCCTTTTATTGATGTGCTGTAATTTATTTATCTGGAATTAGGGGTTATGTTTGAGAAGACCGGGAGTAAGCCTTCCTAGACTTAAATCGCTAGCTGTGGAAACCAAAGATCCCAAGATAATGTGACTATGCCACATACTGGGGCAATTGCTTTTATTTATTTATTTTATTCATTCATTTAAAAGATGAAGAGGTAGGGTGTGGTAGCTCATGCCTGTAATCTCAGTCCTTTGGGAGGCGGAGGCAGGTGGATCACCTGAGGCCAGGAGTTCGAGAGCAGCCTGACCAACATGAAGAAACCCTGTCTCTGCTAAAAAATACAAAATTAGCACGGTGTGGTGGCGCATGCCTGTAATCCCAGCTACTCGGGAGGCTGAGGCAGGAGAATCGCTTGAACCCGGGAGGCTGAGGCTACAGTGAGCCGAGATTGCGCCATTGCACTCCAGCTTGGGCGAGAAGAGTGAAATTCTGTCTCAAAAATAAAAGTAAAATAAATAAATAAATAAAAGATGGGGTCTCACTATGTTGGCCTGGGCTGTTCTCAAACTCCTGGGATCAAATGATCCTCCCACCTTGGCCTCCCAAAGTGCTAGGATTACAGGCGTGAGTCACTGTGCCCAGCCGGGGCAATTGCTTTTAATTTTAGTTGCATGGAAGAAGGGTTTGGTACTAAGATAAATGGGCTGGGCACGGTGGCTTACGCCTGTAATCCCAGCACTTTGGGAGGCTGAGGTGGGTAGGTCATGAGGTCAAGAGATCAAGACCAGCCTGGCCAACATGGTGAAACCCTGTCTCTACTGACAACACAAAATACAAAAAAATACGCGAGAACCACTTGAACCCGGGAGGTGGAGGTTGCAGTGAGCTGAGATTGCGTCACTGCACTCCAGCCTGGCGACAGAGCAAGACTCCACCTCAAAAACAAAAACAACAACAAAAAAAGGGAAATGTAAGTAAAAAAAATACTGAAAAAGAGTTTATTTTTTAATGTTTAAAACTCTTTAACGCTCTGCACTTGGCATGGTAGCAAAAAAGCTCTTTCTTCCTTAGGTAGCTGGCTTAATTTTTCTTTTGTGGTTCACAATGATGTACATTTAAATTTGACCTCTAAGCAATTTTTGTGGTGTTCCAAACGGAATACTTTAGCTAACTCTACTTTGCAACCTGCAAACTTCTTATGTGGAAACCCCAAACTAAGTTTGGCCTGTGTTCCCTACATACCTCAGAGGAAATTGTGTTTTGGCTTCGTTCCACTATTTACTAGCCTTGTAGTCCAGGGTTGTACCGTACAGTAGCAGCGTGGCAGAGGATCTGAATTCCGTAAACATTCTGTTCTTTAAACCACTCGTTGGTGGCTGACTCCACCCTGAGAGTGTAGGTGTGTGTGTAGGTGGGCAGGTGGGTGGGTAGGTAGGGGTGGTGGAAGTTGGTGGTACCCTATGCTAATTTATAAAATGGCACTCTGACCTGGGGCGGTGGCTCATGCCTGCAATCCCAGCACTTTGGGAGGCCGAGGTAGGCGAATCACCCGAGGTCAGGAGTCTCGAGAAAGAACAGCCTTGGCTAACATTGGTGATAACCTCCATTTCTACTACAAAATACAAGAGACAAGAGAATCTTGTGCATGGCTGCGCATACTTGTGGGTAGTCCCAGCTAGCTTGGAAGGCGGAGCCATGGACAATCGCCTGCAACCAGGAAGCGGAGGCTACATGTGAGCCGGATCACATTCATTACACTCCAGCTTTGGGTCAACAAGTAGGAAACTCTGTCTCATAAAAAAAAAAAAAAAAAAAAAAAAAGGGCCCGGACCGGGTGCCTCTACGCCTGTAATCCCAGCACCTTTTGGGAGGCCGGAGGTGGTGGATCATCGAGGTCAGGAGATCGAGACCACCTTGGCTAACACGGGTGAAACCCCCATCGTTTCTTAGCTAAGGCAGATTTGGAGGAGAGGACTAGACGCACGGTATCGGGAGCGGTTAGATGAAAGCGCGCAGCTGAGCAGGTTTGACGTGTAGCGGCAGGCAGCAGGCAGGAAGGCCTGGACAGTAACGGAAGCTGCATTGTCAAGCCTAGGCCACTGAACACTGAGCGCGAGCTGCGGTGCGAGCGAGAGAGTAGCTGAAGGCACGCGCGCTAGAGAGAGAGACTTAAAGAATATACAAGAGAAAGCACTCTTTAGCAAACCCCAGTGAAGAGGGGAGAGGATGTGTCTTTTAGCCAGTCAGTTTCTGGAGCCTGTTTCTCCTTATTGTAAGCTAAGTTACTTATTTTGACTAGCCTGCACTCAGGAGGTTTTCCAGAGGTCAGATTAGATTACACACATGAAAGTGTCCTCATGAACACAATGTGGATATTCAATATTTAATAAAAAAATAATATTATCTCACCCATGTCCTCATTTCTTTTCCAGCCTGGCATGGCCCCCCCCCGTAGTTCAGGACAAAATTGTACAGATGGGCCTGCTCTTTGGTTCAACTCTTTTCCTGTGTGTTTTTTGAGACAGGGTCCTCAGCTCTGTCGCCCAGGCTTGGCTACCTGCAACCCCTGCCTCCGGGGTTCAAGCGACGTCTCCTGCCTCAGCCTTCAGTACTTGGGTTTACAGGTCCCACCACCATGCCCTGGCAATTTTGTATTTTAGTAGAGATGGAGTCTTTCACCCATGTTGGCCCGGCTGGTCCTCCGAGACTTTCCTGACCTTGGTGACAGATCCCGACACGCCTCAGCCTCCCAAAGTGCTGGGATTACAGGCGGAGCCACACTGCGCCCCGCCTACCTTAGACAATTTTGTAAAGTATTGAACCGTGCATGAAAATGACTAAGCGAAAAAGGTGCAACCTTCCTCCTCTATGACACCCAGCCTAAACTCAAGATTTGGCTAGTTCTGGGCGGCAGGCTGGTGGCTCCACCCACCTGTCATACTGTCAACCCCCACTATTGGAGCCCGAGGCAGCGGATCAGCTGAGGTCAGGAGTTCAAGACCGAGCCTGGGGCCAACATGCAGCGAAACGCCTCTTCTTTATTTAAAAATGCAAATATTAGCCGGACTGAGCGTGTGGCAGGCCTGTAACCCCAGCTACTTGGACACCGAACACACACCGCCAATCGCTGTCGCGAGCGGGAGGCACCACCAGTGGCAGTCGACGCCACCGGGATGCCGGCCCCTTGCAGCTCCCAAGCCTGGGCAAGCAGAGCGATGGAACTGTCTAAAAAAAAAAAACAAAAACAACAAAAGAAAAAAAAAAAAAAATTGTGCAGTTGGTTCTGTTCTGTTTGGCACCCAGCCTGGTGCTATGTTGTATTGTACTTTGTTGCCAATCTAGCGGAAGGATTTTGGTCTAGGTAGGTCACCTTTCCTTTAAACAGGCCAAGGTATCAGGCCCCCTTTACGTTCACACGGAAAAGACTGGCGTCATATGTTAGTAATTATTTATCAGGTTAGGAACTGTCCGGTTAGACTTTCTTTGGCCCTGGTCATTAATTCATGGAGTCATAGACCAAAAGCCCATTCCGTAAGGGTTTCAGCTAACATAAGTCCAAGTCTTCTTTCTACATACGAAGAAACTGAATCCCTGGAGTTTAAGTGACTTGAGCTCTGCATGAACCGCGGTACTGGGCGTGGAATCCATTCTTGTGAGTCATCCTCTTAACTTTTCGTAAAATATGTTGCAAAGACACCATAAAACCATAGAATACCACCTGGAGCATGCTCCTTCAGTTAAAAAGAAAGCAAAAATCTTACAGGAGACAGCAAAGAGTTTGGGATGCCCGTGGATGAACACCATTTCAGCCCTGCTATCTTCTCCGCCCCCACCTGCCTCGCCTGCTCCCACTTCCTGGACTACCTGACCTAGCTCCGCCTCCTCCAGGTGGCCCCACCGCTTCCTGGTAGCCCAGCCCCTCCCCCGCCTCCCGCCAAGCGGAACCAATGTCTGTCCGCTCTGGGGTCGGCCGGATCTTTCTCGCTCAGACTCTTCGCAGCGGTGACTCGGCAGCAGCGTCTCGCGTCATCAGTGACAGCCCCGATCCTTGCTACGCTTTGCGTCGCTCTGCCAGAAGCAGTCGCCTCCTCCTTGGCAAATAGTCCTCGGCAGGGTCCGAGTTCTTGGTTAATCCGAGAGGAGAGGCACGAGAAGTTGCAGTGCGGGGACACGGAAGCGACTAGACGAGGAGGCCAGGGAGCGAAGTTTCCTCAATAGTGTGTGAAGTTAGTTAAAAACTCTCTCCTTCCTTAGGATCCCTCCGCCTGCAGTAGCGGTGGTGAGGCCGAGGGAGCCGCCATTTTGGATGTTCGGTTCCTGCTGCCACTGCTGCCGCCGCCCCCGGAGCTGCTGGTTTCATTCGAGGTTTCGGGCCGGTGAGTGTCACTGGCGGCACTGAGAGCATATTGCTGCTTTTGCCCCGCCGCTGGCGCGGGCGCTCGACCGGAAGCTTCCTGTCAGTTTCAGGAGTCCGGTCCCAGGCTGTGGGTGTTGAGAGGACAGAGAGGCTGGGCCAGGAGGGGCCGGGAGCCCCAGGGGCTGCTCCGACTTCTGGAGGGCCGACCCCGAGGCCTCGGACCGGGAGGTTCCGCGCGCAGCGGTGTTCCGGGTAGTGGCGTTGCCCCGCGGGTACGGGCCTCCTTGAACCTTTGACTTTCTCAGGCTGCGATCTTTGAGGGCTCATTCAGGGAGCCTGGGGTTTAGCGCGGCGGGCCCCACCCCCGCGTGTCTTCTCTGAGCCACGTACCAGCGTTCTTGTGTCTTGTACCCGTGTCAGGTCTCTCAGATAACTCTCAGCATTTCCAAATGCCCAGTTAATCGCTGCCTGCCCCTGCAGTGCCGTCCTCTCGGAACCAGACAGACATCGGCCTCGCCTCTCTCTAACCTTCCAACCAACTTCTTTCCCAATTTTCCGCGCGCGTGTGTGTGTGTGTTTGTTGTTGTTTTGTTTTTTTCAGCCTACCTGCGATTGTGCTGTTTACCCTTTTCTCAGCTCCTGGGCCTGCGGACGTCAGCGTCTAATAATTCTCCCGGGCTTCCTGATTGCCTGAGTCGGGACGATTCAGTTGATTGTTTCCCGATTAGGAGACTTGGTGTAGGAGATCCATCGAACCACTCGCTCAGAGTGTGCTTCAGCAGTAATGTTTATGAGGCAGATTAAATGGCTTTTGGGAGGCGGGAGCTGTCAAATGTTTTCTCATTTGTGGATTCCCTCCCTGTGCTGAACACTTAGCTTTTTGGTACTCACTGACACTTGTGTGGTGTTTTTTTTTTTTTTTCTCCTCCCCTATTACATATCCCTGAGCATGGAAATCTGTCCATGGAGAAAAATATTAATCTGAGGTAGGTAGAAAGGAGAGTTGGGCTGCTTTACAGTGATTCGTTAACCGAGGAGAGGAGTTAGTGCTTTCTTACTGACCTTAACTTTGAGGTGTTTGTACAGTAATGATCTTTGCTGACTGATTCTAAAAAATACTTGTAGTGACTTCATGTATTGGATTTTTCTGGGGATAGTTGAATTTTAAATATTCACTTCCACCCTTCCCTAGAATACTTGTCAAATACCTAAGTTGTCATACAGCCTAACTTTCAAGTTTGAAAAATATGAACCCTCTAAGTACTAGTAATCTAGTCACTTTTATTCTAAAAGCATGTTTGCAGTCTAGCATGCTTGAATGAAAAGTATTTCTTTGTTTTAATTTTTATTATTATTATTATTTTTTGAGACAGAGTCTGGCTCTGTCTCCAGGCTGGAGTGCAGTGGCACCGTCTCGGCTCACTGCAACCTTCGACTCACTGCAACCTACGCCTCCTGGATTCAAGCAATTCTGCCTCAACCTCCCAAGTAGCTGGGACTACAGGTGCACGCTGCCACGCCCGGCTAATTTGTTGTTGTTGTTGTATTTTAGTAGAGATGGGTTTCACCATGTTGCCCAGGCTGATCTCGAACTCCTGAGCTCAGGCAATCCGCCCACCTTGGCTTCCCAAAGTGCTAGGATTACAGGCGTGAGCCACGGTGCCTGGTGAATAAAAAGTATTTCACAGTAATTCACTGATGTATTTCCTACGTTTCAAGTTAGGCGAGTGTGATTGAATCACCCTTATTTCATCTCAGCCTGGGTTTTTACATCTGCAAAAGAGAAGTTAACTTATTTGAGATCACAGTCTAGTGGATGAAATTTAAATTTATAACTTGAACTGAGTCAAGCTTTTTAATACTGCTAAGCCACATATATAGATGCATTATTCTTATCAGGTTATTGAAATGAGATTGTAGATAAATTCCTGTATAGGTCATATGATGTCTCAGGAGAAAACAATATTTTCAGTGTAAATACTCAGTGATCTTGTTATTTGTTTTAAGGAGATTTTTCAAAAACATGTTAGTTACTATTAGATATGTGAGTTCTGTATTACCCTGAAGCTATGTAATTTTCTCTTTTGGTTTAAAGGAACTGTCAAACACTGAACACCTATGTAATGATCGCTCATTTACTAAGTATGCCCTTGCAGTTACTACTGAAATGTGCCATTTCTGACTTAGACTTTTCAAGTAAGGTGTTAGCAGAGCTATCACATAGATGTTAGTTAACTCAGTGTTTTTCATGCTTTAATATGTTGGTATTTAAATGTCATTCAGGCGGGTGCTCTGTGGCTCATGTTTGTAATCCCAACACTTTGGGAAGTGGAAGGTGGATCCCTTGAGCCCAGGAGTTAGAGGCCAGCCTGGGCAACATAGTGAGACTCTGTCTCTACCAAAATATTTTAAAATATTAAACTTTTAAAAATTCATTCTTAGATAGTTTGCATTCACTGGGGGAAGGGTCCTTTTGCCTTAACAAATTCCTAGCAAAGTGTTGTTTAGTGCACCATTGATCAGTGCATATTTGAATATCTGCTTTGTGTTTAGGAAACCTCCGTTTCTTTTGGGAGCAGTTGCTTATTCTTTGGTCTGACCTCTGTCATTGTTAGCAGTTCTAGATTTGAGGGCAGATTTTAGAGTGAAACTATAAAGTACAGAAATTGCCAGGAATGCCTTGGTGATATTTCACCCTAGTGTTTATTTTAAAAAGGAGTTTTAAAAATCAGTGGTATGCAAACCAAAACGAACTTCTTTATGATTTATAAAAACTCTTATTTTTTATTATTTTTATTGTTTGAACAGGGTCTCACTCTGTTGCCCAGGCTGGAGTGCAGTGGTCTCTGCTCACTGCAGCCTGGACCTCCTGGGCTCAAGCAATCCTCCTACCTCAGCTCTCCACATAGCTGGGACTACAGGCGTGTGCCACCACGCAGGGCTAATTTTTGTATTTTTTGTATTGATAGTATTTTGTCATGTTGCGCAGGCTGGGCTCAAGCAATCCTCTTGCCTTGGCCTCCCAAACAAAGTGCTGGGATTACAGGTGTGAGCCACCTCACCTGGCCAAAACTCTTTAATTTATACAAATTTAAAAAATTGAATGAGTATTTTCCAAGAGATTATTTTTAATTTAAAAAGTTGAATTGGCAACCTACATACCAAAACACATTTTCCACAATGCTTAATCCCCTTATTTGCATTTGACGAGGATTTTAAAATTTTGTGTATGTAGCAGGACTTAATTGCTATCAAAACTTTAAAACTCTTACTTAGAGCTTCAGAAAATTAAAAAATACTATTTTAAGTGCTTGTAATTTAGTCTATCCTTGCTTCATGAATTGTTTTCAGTTCTTGTTGTTTTGTTTTGTTTTTTGAGACAAAGTCTTGCTCTGTCTCCCAGCCTGGAGTACAGTGGCTGGATCTCGGCTCACTGTGCAACCTCCACCTCCTGGATTCCAGTGATTTCTGCTGCTTCGGCCTCCCAAGCAGCTGGGGTTACAAGCGTACGCCACCATGCCCAGCTGATTTTTGTATTTTTAGTGGAGGTGGGGTTTCACCATGTTGGCTAGGCTGGTCTCGAACTCCTGACCTCAAGTGATGCACCCACCTTGGCCTCCCAAAGTGCTGGGATTATAGGTGGGAGCCGCTGTGCCCAGTCTGTTTTCAGTTCTTGATTTTGGCTTTCTTTATTCTCTGTTGCTTTTACTCAGTTTCTAATGCAGAATAGTGTTGAAAGTAGCAAACAATTTTTTTTCCAACTCCTCTCAGCTTATAACTAACAAGCAATTTTATTTTTATTGATTTATTGATTGAGACGGGTTCTCACTCTTTCACCCAGGCTGGAGTGCAGTGGTACAATCTCAGCTCACTGCAGCCTCGACCTCCTCCCAGGTTCAAGTGATCCTCTCACTTCAGCCTCCTAAGTAGCTGGGACTGTAGACACGTGCCGCTGGATTTATTATTATTTTTTTGTATAGACAGGGTTTCGCCACATTCCCCAGGCTGGTTTCGAATTCCTGGGCTCAGGAGGTCCTCCCACCTCTGCCTCATAAAGTGCTGGTATTAAAGGTGTGAGCCAGGGCCGAGGTGCGGTTCGGCTCAAGCCTGTAACTCCAGCCACTTTGGCGAGGTCCGAGTCAGACGGGCGGATACGGAGGGCCAGGAGATCGGACCATCCTGGCTAACCCGTCCGTCTCTAGCTAAAAAAATACCCAAAACTAGCCGGCATGGTGCGCGGGCCGCCTGTAGTTCAGCCTCTGGGGTTGAGGCAGACGAGGAATGACGTATAAAAAAAACATAAAACCCGGGGGGAAAGGCGGAGCTTGCAGTGAGTCCTTGAGATCCGGCCATTGCACTCCAGCCCGGGCGACAGAGTGAGACTCCGTCTCAAAAAAAAAAATAAATAAAAAAATAAAGGTGTGAGCCACCATGCCTTGCTCACAAGTAATTTTAAACTTAAGAGAGTAGGCCGGTGCAGTGGCTCATGCCTGTAATCCCAGCACTTTGGGAGGCCGAGGCAGGCGGATCACTTGAGGTCAGGAGTTTGATACCAGCCTGGTCAACATGATGAAATCCCATCTCGACTAAAAATAAAACAGTTAGCCAGGCATGGTGGTGCGCATCTGCATTCCCAGCTACGTGGGAGGCTGAGGCAGGAGGATTGCTTGAACTGGGAGGTGGAGGTTGCAGTGAGCTAAGATCGTGCCACTGCACTCCAGCCTGGGTGACAGATGGAGGCTCTGTCTCAAAAAAAAAAAAAGAAAAAAAAATTAAGATAGCCTATAGGTTTATATAATCTTTTGTATTTCTTGGCTTATAGGTTTTGAAATTATCTTTGTTGGCCGGGTGGCTCACGCCTGTAATCCCAGCACTTTGGGAGGCCGAGGCGGGTGGATCATGAGGTCAGGAGATGGAGACCATCCTGGCCATCATGGTGAAACCCCATCTCTACTAAAAAATACCAAAATTAACTGAGCATGATGGTGC